GAATGCGGAAATCAGCAGACAATCTCTCTGATATCCCATGTGAATAAAGTTTTACTAAAGGTAATCCAGAAACAGCTGCAAGCATACATTGACAGAGAACTTCCAAAGGTTCAAGCTGGATTCAGAAGAGGTCGCAGAATGAGGGATATCATTGCTGATGTCTGATGGATCTTGACTGAAAGCAGAGGATATCAGAAAGATGTTTACCTGTGTTTTATTGACTATGCAAAGGCTTTCGATTGTGTGGATCATGACAAGCTCTGGACAACATTATGAAGTATGAGTATTCCGGACCACTTAATTGTGCTCATTTAATCTGTACCTGGACCAAGAGGCAGTTGTTCGAACAGAACATGGGAACACTGAATGTTTTAAAATTAAGAAAGGTATGCAACAAGGTTGTATTCTTTCACCATACTTATTCAACCTGTATGCTGAGCAAATAATCTGAGAAGCTGGGTTCTATTTAAAGAAAAACGTGGCATCAGGATTGGAGGAAGACTCACTAACAACCTATGATATGCAGATGATACAACCTTGCTAGCTGAAAGTAAAGAGGATTTAAAATATTTACTGATGAAGATCCAAGAACACAGCCTTTGGTATGGATTGCATCTTAATGTAAAGAAAACAAAAATCCTCACCTCTGGACCAATAAACAACTTTGTTATCAACAGAGAAAAGACTGAAGTTGTCAATGGCTTCATTCTTCTTGGATCAACTATCAACACTCATAGAAGCAGCAATCAAGAAATCAAATGATGTATTCATTAGGCAAATCTGCTGCACTTTAAAAAGACCTTTTGAAAGTACTGAAGAGCAAGTATGTCAGCTTGAGGACTAAGGTGAGCCTGACCCAAGCCATGGTATTTTCAATAACCTTATATGCATGCGAAAGCTGGACAGTGTATAAGGAAGACAGTAGAAGAACTGATGCTTTTGAGTTGTGGTGTTGGAGGAGAATATTGAAATTGCCATAGGCTGCCAAAAGTACCAGTAGATCCATTTTGGAAGAAGTGCAGCCAGAGTGCTCCTTGGAGGCCAGGATGGCCAGGCTTTGTCTCTCATACTTCGGACATGTTGTCAGGAGGGACCTGTCAGTAGAGAAGGATATCATGTTTGGTAAGGCGGAGGGTCAGAGAAAAAGAGCAAGACCCCCAACGAGATGGATTGGCCAAGTGCCAGAATCGATGGACTCAAACATGGCAATGGTAGTGAGGTTGGCCCAGAATCGGGCAGTGTTTCATTCCGCTGTGTATGTAGGGTCGCTATGAGTCGGTACCAACTCGATGGCACCTAACAACAACAAAGGTTTTAATCCATAAAATGCATAGAAAAGAAGTTATAATTGAAGTTAAAAAAAGCCAAAAGTATGAAAATAATTAACAAAAGGACGTATTTTTCATGCTGACCATCTTATACACTCATTTTCCTTTAAGTTCTTCAAATAAGTGTTTAGTTAGTATCTATTATGTACTTAGACTTAATGATAAAATTCCAGACTTCTAAAACTAGAAGGAAGGTTGCTATCTTCATGGCTTGAAACATAGTAAAGCCTCAAATTCCTAGTTCCCAGTACTCAACATTATACACTATTAGGATGTGTAAGTCTGAATGGTAGAGTTCTCTGAAAGAATGGTATCTCATATGAGATTGCTGGATAGAGGAGATTATAATGCAATTTGGAAGATGAAATAGGAGGAGGGCAGAGTTTCGTAAACAAGTTGATAATTGAGGGGTGGGTTACACTATAGATAGATGTATTTGTTTGATTTCATTAAGATATATTTTGAATATAGTAGAACACACAAACATCTTAAATATGAATCTTGATAAATTTTTTCCACACCCCTACATCTAGAAGGCTTTAATGCAAGTTAAGATGCAGAATCATTCCATCTATTCAGAGATTCTCATGTGATCCTTTCCATTATGTATCCCCTTTAATCTCACCTAAGGTATCCAATAAATCCATTTTGGAAGAAGTGCAGCCCGAGTGCTCCTTGGAGGCCAAAATGGCCAAACTTCATCTCTCATACTTTGGACATATTGTCAGCAGGGACCAGTCGCTGGAGAAGGATATCATGTTTGGTAAGGTGGAGGGTCAGAGAAAAAGAGGAAGACCCCCAACGAGATGGATTGGCCAAGTGGCAGCAT